TTTTTTTTTTTTTTAGTTCTTTTTGTTGTTCACTTATTTGAATGGCTAGCAATCGTGTTAGAGTATTGATGCACTTTGGTGGTTCGTTTTGCGAGAACCTAAGCCCATCTCTTCCTAAAGCCGACAAGTGGTCTGTGTTCATATCTTGGTGGAGTGGCAGAGCTGATGAGAATAAATTACGACCGACAAATATATTCTGAAGTAGTTTCTCGTGCTCAAGCATTATTGAAGGCCGATCCTTGTAATTTTGAGTACATATTGTGGGCAGTACTTGATGGAAGGGAACGAGTTGTGAAGATGAAAATCGAATCCAGTGAGGATATCTTAGAGCTGATTGAAGAACAAAGAAATCCCAACATTTACGTGGAGTTGGAGAAGCGAGTAAATGTAGGGATTCCGGGGACGGCGAAACAAAGCTTCACGCAAATGATGGCGTCTCAAGGTGTATTTCCGAGTTCTTTTGGTGTTGGTAGTTCTGCATTTTCCCACGAGGCCCCATATTCACATCAAGCAGACCCTAGTTCATTTACACATACTGGATATCCTCGGGGCGCTGATGATCAAACCTCGGGTTGTTCGAACCAACCAGGTCATTCTCGTGATGATGACAATAATGATGACCAAACAAACACGCACAATGGTGAGTCAGACGACGAAGACAAAGAGGTCAATGAGAAGCAAATGTCGTAATCCAGGTACAATTTAACCTGCACACATCACACATGTCCTATAATAATTGCACAATTGAGTTGATTGCGCGTTTCGCATAACATGTCCCCATAATAATCGCACAATTAGGTTGATTGTGCGATTCGCATAACATGTAACATAATAATCGCACAATTAGGTTCATTGTGCGATTCGCATAACATGCCCCATAATAATCGCACAATTGAGTTGATTGTGTGATTTTCATATCATATCCCATAATAATCGCACAACTGGGATGATTCGCCTAGTCTTCAACCGCATAATTAACGAATCGTATATCCAAATTGAAAGCCGCATAATTAACGACTATCCGCCATTTTTTTTCGCATATCCATACGGACCGCATTGATTGATTGTCTGCACCGCATATCAAAATTGAAAGTGCTTCGCATATTATTCGCATACGTTACGCACCGCATTGATTGATTGTTTGCACTGCATATCCACATCGAAAATGCTTCGCATATTGTTCGCATAAGTTACACACCGCGTTGATTGATTGTCTGCTTTTACACCTAAAAAACAATGAGGATTTGCATGCTTCCTCATTTAGTTGTTGAGTTGATGTATATCTACCTAGCCTTAAATGCTATATGTATTCATTTTTTCATTCTCTTTGTTGAAGAGGCGACCTTTCACTTCTCAAAACCCTATCTTTCCATCGCAGCCAAAAAAAAAAAAAAAAAAAAAACCAATGAGGCCCACATTTGCGAAAAAAAAATGGAAAGAATTTCACCTTATGAAAAGATCGCGATCCGCTTCCGTGGCATGGACTGGACAGAGGAGGAGGAACGTATTTGCTACCAAGTATTTTTCAAATGGTATCGTCAGAAGGCAGACATACACAAAGGCCATGTGTTCAATTCCTTGTGGGCAGAAATTTCAATAGTCCTGAACCAATGCATGAGTTATGCATTTAAGAGGGAGTTTACTATTTCTCAAGTCCGGCGAAAGATTCAGCGACTCAGAAATTATTTCGATGAATTTACTGCTTTCCTGATGATTCCAGGCGTCCTCTTGTGTCGTGGTACAGGCTTTGCTAGGGTTAACCACATGTACTGGGTGTATGTGGGGGAGGAGGTAAATTGCATCTGATTTTTTATTTTAGTTTGTTCAAGCATGCA